TCTAAGCGGTTTAAAGAGCCTCTTTCCCCCAACAATCTGGGTCCTCATTTTACAGATCTTGGAAGGATGGAAGGCTGAGTCAACTTTGAGCCTGGTGACATTCAAACTGCCAAATTGCAGGCAGTCAGCAGAAGTAGCCTGCAGTCCTGCACCGTAACCACTGTGCCACTGCAGCTCTTGAAGTGGTATTTCCCACCCAGACAGCACCAACTGGGCCGATCCAATGGGGACCTACGGTCGTGTTTATCTTATCACTGACTATAAATTTGAATGTTTTGTTTTGATGTGAGTTGCCACGGATGCTTTCGTCGCCTTTCGTTCACCGCCAAGGAGCTCGAGGAAAACGGGGCCTGGGAACGGAAGAGAGCCAAGCGGTGAACTTAGGTGAAAACATTGACTGGGGCACCAGGGAGGGCATCAGTCGGGGAAGAGAGGGGCAGCTCTGCTCGGCCAGAACGCCCACCCGCTCTCGGTTCCCCGTTCAGGGATCCTCTCGGCCCTGAAAGAGGATGTTGCCAACGGTATAATCAAAGTTCCGCTTGCTTTTTGAATGCATTTTGCCACAGGCTGCGCCTAGAAAAAAGCAGGTCACACTTCATCCAGGCCGCCCTGGCCGCCGCCGCCGCCTCCGGTTCTCTGGCCAACGCCTTGAGTGTCTCCAAGTGTTTTGAGCCTAAAAGTAAACAAGGTGACTCCGGAGGTTTGCCAGCACCGCCTCAGCTTGCCTTTCCACATTGCAGCCACGCTGAGGTCACCCCCTGCACATTCCTGCCTTCTGGTCTGACCAGATGGACGGGAGGCCTGTGGCGTCACAGGGGCCGAAGGAGCCCCTTCAGAGTCGGCTTCCTGTGGCCTACAAGGGGGGGTAGGGGGGGCGCACTGTGGCCAAGGGGCACATTCCTGCCTCCCAGAGGAAACGGGGCCAATGTGGCCAGCTGGGGGATTCTGGAAGTTGAAGGGCACAAGTCGAGGAAGAGCTGGGCAGCGGTGGGGGGGGGGGGGGGGGGGCGTCGTTTTTGCAGCCCAGTTTCCCAAGCCGCCTCCCGCTTCTAATGTTCTGTCAGTCGAGAGTTTTCCATCGGTTGTTCCACCTGTACAACAACGTAACCTGTGAAACGGTCCCGCGAAGCCCCCAACTCGGGCGCCGAGAGAGGAAGGCAGCGCAGCCGAGGGGAGCCGGGGGCCGTCCGCGCGGCGGACTCGGGAGGCAGCAAAGAGCCGCCTGTCCACCCCACGGGCCGAAAGCCGAGCCGGGCTCCGGCAGACGAGTCCCGTCCCCCCCCCACCCCCGGGCCTCCCGGGCCGGCTCGGTGCAACGGCGGCCAGGGGCGCCTTTGGGGCTTCCCTCCCACGGACGGATCCCCAGGCCGGGCGTCACGCAGCGGCCGGCCGCCTCTTCCCCAGCCGCGCTCGCCGGGAGCGCCTCGGCCCCGCTCTCCGACCGGCGCCGGCCGTTTCGGCCAGGGGGGAGAACGGGGCTCCTTTGGCCACGGCCCGCCTCGCCGACCCAGCTTGGGAGAGCGAGCAGCCTGGCTCCGCTGGGCGGAGGCCAACTTGGCAAAGGAGCGCCCGAGCCGCCGTCGGCGGGGCCAAGGAAGCGGCAGCCCCCGGGAAGCCAGGCCCGTTTGCCCGGCAGGGCAGCGGCGCCCCGAGCCCGCCCCCGCCGCTGCCCGCCTCACCTGCCGCCGGCCCCGCCCTCCCAGGTGAGCGCCGCCCCGCCCCGCCCCGCCCCGCCCGCAGAGCAGCAGCGGCAGCGGCAGCAGCGGCGCGTCCAGCCATGGCGAAGGCGGCGGCGGCGGACGACGACTACAACTTCGTCTTCAAAGGCGGGGGGCGGCGGGGGGGGGCGGCCGGCGGGGGTCTCCCCTGCAGGGCCCGGCCGGCCGCGGTTCGGGAGGGGGGGGAGTTGGTGGGAAGCGGGGCGCTCGGGGCGCGCGCGGAGTTGGAAGGCTCGGCTGGGGCTTCGGGGGCGGCCGTCCTGCCGGCCCGGGCTCGGCCCTTCCCTCCGCCCGAAGAATCGGTCCCCGCGCCGGGATCCGCTCGACGCCGCTGCAGGATTCCAGCCCCCCCCCCCCCCCCCCCCCCCCCCCCCCAGGCCCCCCTTCCTTCCCCCCCCCCCCCCCCCCTTCACACACCCCCATTCACACACCCCCTCCGATCCCGTTTAGCTGAGCTGCTTTGCCAGCGAAGGGGGTGAAGAAAGCCGGA